CCCTCTTTAGGGCTTTCTGGCATCTGCTCTAAAACTGCCGTGCAGCAGGGAGGCGTAGCAAGGGCTTTTGCCTGGCTTGTGCGTTGCTGCCAGGGGAAGCGATCTTCAGTTGTTTCGGTTTAAGTTTCCAAATGAATTCTGCTGCTAAGAATCGTACCAACAAATACATTGCATTTTATTCAGGAGGATGTTTTTAACCTGGATTAGACAAGCTCAGAAGATCCAGGCATGCGTGAGAGAACAGGCTCCGTGGCTAGCGCAGCTCTCGTGCCTGTGGGGTGACATCTCGATGACGGTGGAGTTTAATTGCTTTCTGGTTTGCTGATACAAGCTGTTGTCCATTTAGGGACTGGGATTCTGCTTTATGTTGCAGGCACAAAGCATTTCGATTAGGCTACCCTTTTTTTTTTTTTTTTAACTTAATTGTGTGTCTTACTCTCTAAACTTACGCAAAGGTAGTGGGTTTTAGTATTTCAAGTGGGGCGGTATCTTTGATGCTCAGATTGTGTAGTGATGTAAAATTTCATATCCTTACGATGCTTCCTTAGTAAGGAGCCGTGAATGTTGAAACTCTCAGCCACAGCTTCAGTAACGTCAAGCTTTTTTTTTTTTTTTTTTTTTTTTTTTTTTGCTACCATTTGAGCTGACATTTTTAATAAAACTTGTTTTCTATCTTACGGGGGCACTCTTCAGTTGTGGCCCTGGAAAGTTAAACTACTGAGGAAGTGACGTTTGCTCTGTAGTAACCCACTTAAAATTATGCAATTGTAAACAAGGAAGCCAGTATGTATTTTGCAGTTCAGCAATTAAAACTTTAAAATGTGCAGCTTAGCATTTTGGCTGACATAAAAGCTCTTTATCATTTTATTGCTGCTTGCACTGTGTTAGTGGCTAGGATTTGTAGGTGCTTTAATATTACAGTGATAATATGCATCCATTAATGCATATTAGGAAAATGATAGATTATAATAAATACAAACCACAGCTGAGTAATTGGTAAGTCTCCAGCTCCTAAACCTTCATCAAAAGCACCTTTTTAAAAATTATTTGAACTAAAAGCTCGAGCGCTCGCTTCTGCCCCAAACAAAAGTTGCTTTTAAATGTTGGGGAGGGGCAGGTGGGGTAGAAGAGCGGGGAACTGGGCCCAGCAGACAGATGCGGTTTTGTTCTTTGACGACACTTCACTCATCAAAGTAATCAGCGAGGTAATCTCGGAGAGGAGGAGCGAGCGGACGCGTACCTCGGCTAATTCGGGGATTGCAGCCCCGCGTTCCTCGCCTCGCCAGCTGACCGTTGTCACAGTGGCTGCTGGCACTTGTGGTGAGTAGAAAGCTAAACTTTTGCTTCGATAGT